TAGGGAAAGCACGAAGGAGGTTAAGCTAATGATGGTATTAAAGGGGAAATTTGAAATTACGGTTCATGTGAGATCAGAAAAGAAAGTGGGGAGTGGGAGATCCTGTCTTGATTAAAAAGATCTCAGGGTTTTCACTAAGCCTGGTTATTATACAAAATATTATACAAAAATAAAAGCAACCAAACAAAAAACACCACATAGTTACACAACGAGAGAAGTGCTAACGTTATGCCCAGTGACTTTTAAATCCCCAACAGAGAAGTAAAAGCAAACTCTTTCATCTTCTTCATACGTGTCTGACTTCACAATCTGTGTCACTGTATCGTCCTTCAGGTACATTAGAGAATTCTCTTCCTTAAAACTCCTAAGAGCATAAATGCATTACTTGGTTGGATTTTGATTATGTTGGGAAGAGGTTTCTTGTTCTTTGATTGAAACATGTATATACTTGGCTGTAATGAACAAGAGACTTAACATTAGAGTATGTGCTGCTGGAATAGTGTCTCTCTTAGAAGGTACAATGAAAGCTTTTTTCAGTTAGCAGCAATTTGTAAAGATTAGTAGAAGACTTTACGTGGAACTTAGTTATCTTAAATACTTTAAAGACTATTTTATTGTTAAGTGATATCAGATTGGGTATGGGAAGAAGGAAGTGCTGGGAAATACAATTGCACGATTCACACTATGTAAGTGCTAATCTTGGCATGAAACTCTGTGTGTGTATATATGTAACAACACAGTTAAACTGCTGTAATGGCAGGCTACTACTGAAAAGGTCAGTCCACATCCCCTCTAGTTCCAGCTACATACTCCTTTCCTTTCTAGTTACAATGGACTAAGTGATTCTTCAGTCGAGAATGAATTAGTTCATTGACTTGATCCAGTAGAAAACCATTTATTTGTGAGGTTTCTCTGTTTTTTATTGGAGGATTAGTTTTCCGGCATGTCAGTTCACTGAACCAACTCATCCTGTACCCACACAGTTGCCAACTGTGACACAAAAAATGTTGCAGGAGCACATAGCCAGGATTTGGATAAAGAGAGCAGGAGCCACCCCTTTAAGTAGCAGCTGATAGTTACCCTGCTTTGGATGTCACATCTAAAACACACATTAATGTTGTAGTTCTTGTCCTCTTGATGCTTTTTTATTTCATTATCCTTTTACATTTCAGAAAATCAAGTTTTCATATGTTTTCAGGTAATATGCTTAATTCTTTTCCATCATTATAGGAAGCATAGCTAGAGGAAGACAATATTAAGCTGTAGTTTGGTGGCTGTATGAACAGGGTTCACTGCTTCCTGAAAAAAAGGTAGAGGAGAACTTTATTCAAATACCACATAGTGAAGCAGTGCTTTTCTCTTTGGTGAGTTTTCACTTCTGACATGCTTCTGTCATGTTTTTCTGCTCATCCTTCATGTTCTGGTCAAGCTGATGCAAGACTGGTGATGCTGAAACATGCAGGCCCTCCTGCCTTCTCTTACCCAGGCATTCTTTTGTCTGTCAGTACTGGCATGTGTGGGGAGCTGGGTTAATTCTTTGACCCCTCTGAAAACAAGGTGAGGGTTTTTGTTGTTCTCTTTGTGGGGGGTTGGTTGTTTGCATGGTTAGCTTTCAGCTGGATCACCTTGGTCGCACTCTCACTGTGTGGCTGCTAGTGTTGCTACAGAGGCTTGGCAGGACCAAGATTTCCCTTTCAATGTTAGGCTAGCTTTCAGTTAGCTTAAATCATAAGCCTGCTCTCGCTGAGAAATGCTATCACAAATTAATACACTAAAATCTTTGACTTGGTCATAAAGAAGAAAGCTGTGGCAGTTTTACAGTATTCCCTTTTGTCCCAGCTGTCTGCCTCTTCTCCTTGGAGATTACCACTCCTATAGCAGAGTTTG